GTTTCACTTCTAATGTTTATCACAATGCTTTTGCCATTTTTTTTAAAGATTTTTCTCGAAATGTTTCAAGTTAAATTGATATTAATCAATAGTTCGAAACGGAAGAGTTTATCATAAATCTATAAGATAAATTGTCAATGTTGGTCGTGTTAATATAAAAAATAAAGGAGAATATAATAATAAATGGAATTATTCATCATGACATCCTCTATCTATGCGTTCCTTATCTATTCTATATAGAAAACGGTCTCGTTTTTTCTCAAACGATATCTTTCTATTCTTTTCATAAAAAAAAACATTTGTGTTGACGATAGATAATCTAAAGTAAGATATTTATTTTATTATTCTCGTTTGGATGTCTTGTTTCAATAAATCTTTTATATAAAACCGGATAGACACATATTATACAAATATAGTATAATAATGATTGTTTTTTTTTTCTTTTTCCGGTAACATTTCATATTTATTTATCAATTTAAAGAAAAAAAGTGACCTGGTAGAAAATCAAACTGATTACCAGCAAGTTTTCTCCAAGAAAAAATCGAAGAATATATTCATATCGATTTATAAGATTAGATTTCAAATCTGAAAAAGGAAAAGGGCTAACTAATAAGTATTTGTTACCGTTCGTTGTTTTATTCGATATACGATCGTTGATTAGTTATTTATTGCTTTTAATCAGTTCGTCGAATATAGATTGAACATTTATAGATCATTTATGCGTTTCTATTATCTATGAACAAGTTTACAAGAATTATTCTTAAATCAGTCAGTTGACGTAGCGTCTTTGTTTGTTTTTTTTCATATAAATAAATGTGTAAACCTCGGGTTTAAACCGGAGAGTTATCTATACTTGAAAAATTTTCTATAAACAGTTGATTTCTATTGTCTACTGGTAAACTAATACGATTTCAAGTTAAGTCGAGTAGAGAGATTCGAGTTCTCTGCCGTAGAAAACGTCCAGGTATGATTCCTCTGATCGAAAGAACGACCTCTATTTGTGGATTAATTAGAGCGTCGATAAAAACAGAATCGAATTCGATTTAATTATCTTTCCAATAGGTCAGTTAGTTTTCTTGTTTCTTTATGTTTTATATCCGATTTTGTTGCTCGTGAAATTCTCTCTAGAATGGTTTCGAATAATTGGACTTTTATTTGACTATGATTGGAAAAGTTTTTTACGAAAATCGGTTATTCTCATCTTCTTCTCTCGACTGAGATATTCTCGAGACAAAACTGTGTAGAAAATTTCATCGCGATTGGACTCTCCTTTGAAAAGTTCTCGTGTAAACGGACGGATGGACACACTGATCGATTCTATAGTCTATGAACTTTTTGAGTGCGCCAAATAATTCTGTTAGAAGAAGATAATATTTGTTCTTTATCAGTTAAAAAAAAGATAATAAAAAAAAAAATCTTATTATTAAATGGATTAAAATAGTTTTCTAAGAAAAAGAGGAATTGATTTTTCAGCTCTATTTTATATATTGATCGATTTGTTGTTGAGTTTTGATTAATTGTTAAATATTATCGTTTTGAATAAATATCATATTGGCTAATTTGATTAAATTTCTCTTCAATTAAATCGTTTTTTTCCCTATCTAATGCTCTTTCTAATTCATAACAAATACGTTCAAATTTTATAATAATCAATTCGACATTCAAATCCAGTTTGAGAGATTTTGTTAATTTTTTTCGAATATCTTAACATTCGATTTGTTTTTTTTGACAAATCTTTCATTCTATTTATTAATTATTATTATTTTCGAAATTAAATTAATTATTGTTACCTGATTGATCAACACGAACAATATAATCACTTATCTATAAAAATAAACCTCTTTATTATATAAAACAAATGGATTTATATGATTTTTTTTTTAATTTAAATCAAATTAAAATTGATTAGAATTAGTTATTTATAGATCGTTTCCTCATATAGATAACTCAATTTAAATAAGAATTTAAAAAAAAAATCTATTCCTTGTCCAACAATTGTCCATTAAGGTAAAGGAGTTTGTCGAAAAAAGTATATGAGAGAATAATTTGTAAGATTTTATTTGAAAAGAGTCGAGATTGATCAATAAAACATAATTATATGTTTGGACAATGTCCTTATAGAAATCGAAATATTTTTTATATTCTATTATAGTTAACCTTGGAAAATCGAGGGTTTTTTTATATATTAAGGAACCGAATATATAACAAATATTTATCTATGAAAGTTAAACTCGATAAAATAATATTTTATCGTAAAATACCTCGAAATAATTCTTATTATATATTTAATCAAAGAGAAACAAATCTTTTATTTATATTCAAT